TGTTGGAAGATAGAAGGCCATGAGCTAGATATTCTACAAAACACGCATAAACTACAGGAAGTGACATAATCTATAGTTGTAGTGGAACTGATCTGCACCCAGCTGACAGTTCCTATAAAAACACATCTAAGACCAAGTATGGACAAAAATAACATAACATATATATATATGAAGCTTGCATCACACAAAAGTCAACTGATAAGACTTGAAAAAGCACTCATGACTATCATCAGTGTGTTACCAAACTCTAGGTGAACTCTAGGTGAACTGCAATAACTGCCTTGAGATTGTCTGCCTCCGCCCACCAGTCAAGTCACACACACAAAAATATTGGTTCTTAAGGGATTCTTTAGCTGTTCTTTTGTGCATCTTTAGTGGTTCCTCAGTGGTTTTTTGGAGTGATTTAGGTGCTATATAGCACCACTACTATATAAAAAAAAACTTTTGCACCCCTGTACAATACAATGTATTTCCTGAAGTTACCATTAAAGTCTGTCCTGAGTTATATGACATATGACATAAGTAACTTAACCTGGCAGTGACTAAGATATGTACAATCGGCAGTTTGAAGGTGGGCAACGTTTCATGTCACCAGGGTGGGGGAGGAAGTTTCCCATTTCTGGTGTTTCTTCTTCCTCCACACCCTGAAGAAGACAAAGAGGCAGTCAGACCTCAGATGATTCTGGAACATCTTAAAATTCTACCATCCAACCTAATCCATCATCTAAACATAGGTTCTATTAAGGCACCTTTGACCTTAGAAATTGTAGTTTGTTTTTGTTTTTAAACAGAGCAAATGGGGGATTTCATGGAAATTCTGTGAAGCTTTCAGAATTCATGTTATGGCCTTTATCAGTGTATGAATTTTGCTCAATCTTCATGGAGATGTTTTAGTTGTTATCATGTGACAGTGTCCGATGAAGGCGGGAAGATGTACAGGAGAGCTCCAGATGATTTTGAGTCATTATGCAAATTTTTTTTTGAAGCAACACTAAGAATAGCTCTTAACATAACAATAATCTAATTGATCATAATTGATGCACAGCACTGCCCCCATGAGTATCCTACTGTTATATATTATTAAAGTATATAAACTTTTGCAGGGCCTGTTGTTAACCTGCCTGTTTGAAACAGACTGTTCTCTTGTCCTGTGTTAAAGCTCTGGAGCTACTTCAGAATTATTCCTTGTCATTAGTGAGTCCCTCTCAAACAGTTCTACAATATACCGTCACCCTTTATTGTTTGTGTACTGGACATTGTGTGCAGAGCTTTATATAAACTATGGTATGGTCTATGGTGTAAAGTTAGAAAATGTTGTGTTCCTCCTACCTGGTTTATCTGCAGTGAAGATCAATGTTTTTCATAAGATAAAACCGCTTCATTACTGTTCATATGTGTGGCTTATACATACAGTATAAGTTTAATGCTGTTTACCCCTGAGACTCCAGAAGTGCTTTGTGGACTCAAACACTTCACCCACCCCTCCATAGTGGTGAGTAGATAATGAGTGAATTAAAATGTTTCTATGAGCAATCCCTTTAACTTTTATTTTTCAATACATTGCATGCTGGCTATTTCAGAGGTATGTGAAGTAATTGACACAATCTTCAGACCCAAGTTAACAACCTTATTAAAATAAAAGCTCTGTAATTCATTGTGATATAAAGCATTGCAGTAACATTGCGCTTTTACTTTGAAGATCACTTGCTAAAGAGGAAGTCATTCTTTAAATCTTGTCATCACGGAGATCAGCACCAGGGAATGTCTCTGTCAGTGTCTGTGTCTCAGTCCGACATGGGGAAATTAAAATAATCAAGTTATCAAAATGATCTGGGGGCGGTTTTGAACCGTGGTTTGACACAGTTGCCAACCATGGCTGTAGTTTATTGGAAGAGGACAAGTTCAACTCGGTCCACAGATTGAAGGCACACTGCACCACCCCCACTGACTGTCACAGAGTGCTCTTTACCTGCTAATTCACTTTTTATATTAATATTGAACCATATAAATAAATATTGCGTCCCAATTGCACCAAATTCGACAGTGCACTTCCTTGGACCATTAAGACTACAAATGTCAAGTGTGAACCCTGACATGCAGAGAGTCAGATGTTTGTGGAATTAGTAGGTCGATGTAAATAATCTCATAATTTTCATATGACTGCAAACATTTTTAAATAAAACTAAACGTTTTTCTATATAACTTCACTTTAATGATTTGACATAATCTGTATTACAATTTTTAAATCTTTCCCTTTTCTGATGCCCTCCAATCGCCGACAGATGTTTGTACCATCCCTGCATAAATCTAGGAAAATTTACAAGACAAAAAAGTTTACACAGAGTAGCAAAGTGTGAACTAGGTGCATTTCTGGGACAATTCACAGTTAATGTTTTACAAAAAAAACCTTAATAGTGATAAGCAACTCTTTCTTATCAACTCACATGCCTATATGCAACAGACGAATAGTAGGATAAATGTAGACTTTACCAAATAGAAGTTCTCAAAGCTCCAGGGAGATGGTAATCTATCAACAGAGAAACACATCTGGATCTAATAGTTTTCTGGCCGGCATGTGAGCATTCTCAGAAAATTTGAGCCTCACCGGGAGGATGAACTCTGGGCCAATACAGGTGTGCATGAGACACCACAGGAACACTTCAGGTTAGTAATATAAAATGATTACCACATTAATTTTATGGCTGCTGCCTAAATATCTTAAAAAGAGACTCGCCAGCAACCAAATTTCACATTGTGTCTGAATACTGTAAAAAACTGAATATGTGACTGGGTGATTGCTTTAGAGTGCAGAGGGGAAGAAGTGAAAGGATGACAACAAAATCACGTTTGACATTTTTAGCCTTGTCAGTAAATTCAATTAGAGAAAACAAACGAAGGCAGAGTGACACTGAGATGAGTAGGGCGGTGGACAAACAGTCACATCCTCTGTGACAGGAGGTAAAGGCTTTAATCTAATTGAATAAATAAAGTGTAGCTTAAAAAAGATTTTTAAGTACTAACAACACTTGTGTAGAAGTAATGCACCATTTTCACCCCTGTTGTGTTTATAAACTAAAACTAAAAGTGATACAGCATATATGCTTATATTTAAAAATGGGAAACAAGGTAACTTTAACATGTACTAAATTGTCAGGAATTTCTTGGTTCAAGAAAACTAAGATAGCATATGGTATGTTTTAACCAAACGATACATGATCTACACATGAAGTACTGGCACATTTAGGGAGATCTCTTCTTTTAGCAATGTTGGAATGTTGGTCAATCTAGACTGATCCAGACTGATAATCATCAATGATCAATACTTTGCTTTTTGACCAAATATCCATCAGCAACAGCATTACTTTGTGTTTACTGCAAATTAGTCATTGAACATATGCAGAAATGGACAATGGTGCCAGAAAGTGGAGCAAATGAGAGTGCCTGAAAATCTGCATTCTTCCAAATGACCAGCAGAGGACAATCAATACAGCATGATGTTCTTTTTAAATTACTGTCCCATTTAAGGTAAAATAGACGATTAAGCAAAGATGGCGCTGAAAAATATACCACGGTAACTCAAGGATTTAAACAACTAAACTAAGACGGTGAAAGTACTTAACATTAGGCCTACTAACAACAGCATGTTGCAATTGGGAGTATTTTAGCTAGCCAATATTAGCATTTGTATTAGTAATCAAACATATAAAACAATGTATGTTAAGCTGACTAAAAAGTGTATATTAATCAGCCCTTTAAATTTAGATATTGTAATAGTGTTTTCTGCTCAGATTTTCAAACACTTTCTTTTGGTTAGTAAAATGTTGTGTCGCCGCTGAACCGAAAGATTCTTGTAATGGAAAACATGCATATGACCTTAGCTTGAACTCTTTCCACATGTCTGATCAATGCTCGTGTGCTGTGTCCAACAATAACTTATAACTTATATAGAGACACAATTGTGCTTGCATAAGAGGAACTGTTTGGCGTACGTGCAGATGGACGATTCGAAACTAGACAGACACCTTTTACTGTTTTACCTTTAACTATGCAATGCCATGACTGTTGCTATGCACTTGGCAGATTTAACCTCAGAGTTCATGTCCTTTCTTGATGATGATCCTCTTGTTGACCCTGATCTGGACAGTAGCAAACTTCTTCCTTTATACAGAAGCAAAAGCAGACAGCTTCCTGTTTCAACTAGATGACAGGTGGCTTCAGTTTTTCATGCCATTACTCAGAAACAGTTGTTTCTTATGTTTCCTGTTTACCTGACTGTATAAAACCTTTTTCTTTCCCTATTCGGGGTTGTTCCACTCTGAGCATTCATGCTGAGTGTGAAACCCTCTGCAGAGCTTTCTATTAAATGACCTAAAGACAACTCCGGTCTGAGAAACTCTTTATTTCACATCTCGAGATAAATGTCCACCACATTCTGATAACAATTTCCAGAAAATACTTTAACCAAGTTTGACAAATAACATTGTTTCAATGAGTATCATTTGGACAAACATGGTATAGCTATCTACAGTCTGACAGCACACTGGCAGCCTGATAAAGTCCAAGTGATAGAATTGTGGTGGATGTAGATTAAAGGAAATGGTTCCATATAGAATGGTGGTAACAGCATTTTGTTTGACTTAGCTCCCCTTAGTGTACAAAACCTTTAATATTTTAACAGGACAAATAAAAAGCAGTGATCAATGTCTACAGAAATATTGATTGGATGATTGTGTTGGGGGATAAAATATACCATAAAAGTAAGAGATTATGAACTCGTCACTGAGCATTAAAAATACAAAATAACTCATTTATGATTTTACCCTCCATAAAAATGTGGGCACTTCGATATATACGCTGGGTAACTTGTGAACATCCTGCCAGCCTTCCTCAGTCTTCCTCCACCCCCTCTTCTACATAAAAAGAGGAGGAGTGGGAGGACAGGGATCAACTCAGCAGACTCTTGATACTGTTTACACCAGCACACTGCAGCCAGTGCTGGAGAAGACTGGACTACCAGAGGAGGTGACTGGAGTTTCAGGACCACAGACCTGGAGCTTTTGTTTTTATTACACTGGCACCAGTGACAGAGAGGACTGCTGCTGCTGGAGATGACTGGACTGTCACTGCAGGAACAGCATCCCTCCTCTTTGGGAACATTTCTCTGTCCTGAGAGCTTGAGAGTTTGTGGGGAAAGTTTGATTGAAGAGGCATAAACATTGGAGAATTTCTACCTCAGTCAGGAGTTAGGTAAGTAAGAGTTTAAGATGCCGTGACTGGAGGACATTTTAATTGATGGATTGAGGGACTGTATGACAATTATTATGGTGGTGAGTCAGGGGCTGAACAATTTGTTTCACTGCAGAGGGGCCCTCCAAGGTTTATATGATTTTCGTGAACTCTCCTCTCGATTAAAAAAGTATAACACCCTCAGCAGAACAGGTCAAAAATAATGTTACAGTGATAAACTACTAAACTTGTTTAACTGGGCACCCTCTGTTCTGACCTTAATGTCATAAGGGAACTTATAATGTGCATGCAACGACACAGTCCACATTAATAACCCACTGAACTGTTCTCTGCTGACTATGGATAAGTTCATATCTATAAACTAGGCTGAAATAATAAGAATAAAAGACCTTCCTCTGCTCCCCCACAAAGTCAAACCCTATTTTCAGCCAAAAGGACAAAATTACACCCTCCTTCCCCCATCCTCTTAAAAAGTTAATATAATGTTACGAAGGGAGCTTAAGTCACATAATAAATCCTGGAGCCTGCATACAGTACTTTCTTGCAATTTGTATTCCAGACACGTTCAAAGAGGATCAGTTGTGGCCCCTGTTGAATAAAAGCCATATTCATAAAAAAGTCCAGGATGAAGACTCATCTCCTCTGCTTGGGGTTACTCCTCTTGACGGGTCACATCCTCATGGCCAGTGGGCAGCTGGAGCCAAAGAAACAAATCCCCCAAGACCCTCTGCCCGTAACCCAGAGACTAGGGCTTGTTGAGAGGGACGTGCAGGGACCTGTGAGGTCCAACATCACGATGCCCCGTCGCCGGCTACCTCCTATGTGCACTGGACCCACGGAAATCCGGGACACCTTCAAGTACATCAACACGGTGGTGTCCTGCTTGGTGTTTTTTGTTGGTATCATTGGCAATTCCACTCTTCTGAGGATCATCTACAAGAATAAGTGCATGCGCAATGGGCCAAACATCCTGATCGCCAGCCTGGCACTCGGAGACTTGCTGCATATCATCATTGGCATTCCCATTAATGTTTACAAGGTAAGGTAAAAAAAGCCTATACCTTACAGACCTATTGACAGAATAATGATGATGATTTTCTGCACTTATTAACATTTCATTATCAGCTTATTCAAAACTTCCATTCATTTATATTGTTGTACTCTTACACGATTAACCTTTTAAGGTAGTTTTCTAAGATTTTGCTTCATATTGACACATACATACCAGAGCGCACACATACACACTCTTGAGAGGGGGCTTCCAATTCATTTTTTACATGTTATTACTTCACTGGATTCTGAGCCCCGCCATATCCCCCTGTGTCTCTGGCATGTTATTATCTGTCGGGTTTATTTTGTGTGTGTGTGCGTGTGTTCATGTGTGTACTTCTATCTTTGTGAGGACCCATTTGACCATTGGACCTCACAGATATTAAAGGACATTTTGGCAGGTCCTCACTTTCTGAAACACCTTCAAAGGGCTGTTTAACTAGTAGGGTAAGCTTCAGGGTTTGGGATTTTGTTGTGATGGTTAGGGGTTAGGTTCAGAGGCTCTTGAAAACACATTATGACAAGAGAGTCAGAGAATCCTTATAAAGAAGTCCAAGTTTTTATGTGT